TGCATCACTACACCCAGTTTCATACCTCTATTTCTTTCCCTATGGGTGATAAATCTGATCTTCCCAAAGAAGCAGGATGGATTTACTCAGTGCTAGGATAAGAAAAGCCTGAGAAAAACTTCCTGGATCAGGAAGAAATAGGTCTGTGGCAGCAGATTGAGCTTCTCTTTGTGATCAGGCAGAGAGAAACTTCCCTGAAGTTTGAAAAATCCAGGATTTGCACATTGGCTGAAAGCAATCTCCCATGGACCATAAGCAGTTAGAGGAGTCTCTTGACAAACACCAGATATACAGCCCAGTTTGCTGGCATGACCTTATTCAGTGAATATTTTATAATCCCAGCATTATTTGCACCACTCTTCTGGCTCTGACCTTAGTAAATCCCACATCCCATGTTTAAGCCTACAGCTTATCAATCATCTCAAAGGTCTTTTGCAACCTAAATAATTCTATGATAAAATGCAATCAAAGCTGAGCTACATCCCTGCACATGCAGCGATTTGGTCTGCTGGCATAGTCATTGCTAAATGAAAATTAAGCTTAATACTGTACATATTTTTCATGCACAATTATACCAGTATCTTATTAAAAAAAAAAAAAAAAATCTGGCCTAGCAGCTCTGCCTGCAAAGTAGCTGGTGGTGGTTAGATCTGTGGATAAAAGATAAAACTGAAAGACAGCTTGAAAACAGGAAAAAAAAAAAAGAAAAGAAAAAGAGCAACATAAAATGGTGCAGTCAAGAGAGTCAGATGAACTCTCAAGATCCAACCCTGCCTAGAAATGCCAAACTGACTTAAATTGGAGGATCACATCATAATCCTATATAATTAATGTTTGTCATCCTGCTGTAAACTGCCAGATTATCATTAGTTCATCTTTTGTATTTCCAGGAGAAACTCATTACTCAGTGAGTGAAACGTTAGGAAATTATTTACAATTACGCTGCCGAGAGCAGTAGGCTAATTCCATCTACTAATTAGCCCCACTTACATAAGTATAGGTAGAGTGCTATAAATAATAGCAGCAGCGTGTGCCGGGCTGGCACCGGCGCGCTGGGGCTGTGCAGCAGCGGCAGCTGCCCCCTCTGGTGGCCTCTTAATGGGATTTTACTCAAACCACACGAAAGGCTCCAAAAAATCATTCCTTGCCTAGGGCAGGGAGAGATGGAGTGAGCTGGCAAACCGGCTGTTTCTGAGCTCCTTTCTGCAGCAGGCACATTTACTGCCCGGCCTGTCGATGCTGCTCTGACGCTGCTGGGAGAGAAGGGATCTACAGGGGCTTTGGGGTGAGGGCAGCGCTGATGAAAGGGGGGAAAAACACTTTGCTTTAAACTGGAAGGTGTTGTGCAGGTTCCAGGCAGGAGCCATCACAGTGACAGAATCACAGAACCATGGAATGGTTTGGGTTGGAAGGGGCCTTAAAGACCACCTTGTTATCCAACCCCTTACTATGGGCAGGGACACCTTCCACTAGACCAGGTTGCTCATGTTATGGATTTTGTGCTGTTGGTGGTTCCAGACTCCTAAGTCAGGACAGGGTGTTGCACATCTCCTTTGTTACTCGACTGTTTGTAGCTCTCAGAAGCAGCAGCCGTTGTATTTCACATTCAATATTAAAAAAAAAAAAAGAGAGAAAAAAAATCATCTCCCTCCATTCCAGCTGCATCAACTAACTAAGAGACAGGGGCAGCTCATGGAAAATAACATAATCTGTACTATATTTTTAAGCTGAACTCCACAAACCTGCAGTGAAGCTTTGCTGCCTGTTTGCATTCATTCTTCTTCTTCTTCCTCCATGGATTTTTTACCTCTCTATAACAGTAATTTTCATTTAGCAGGGACTCACCTTAATTCAACCCCAATTTGGGGATTGATTAGTGATGTGAATTTATGTGCAAATTAATAAAAGTCTGGTTGGGGCTGTTTTTAATATGGAGATGGAAGTACCTTCCTCAGGGAACTGTTACAGGCTGTGGACCTGCCATGGAGAACAGCAGGTCTGAGAAAGGCTCCCTCTAGTCCCATGTGGACCTTTCTCTGGGTGCTGGGTCTCTCTTAAAGGCCTCAGAAATGAAGCCTGCAAATCTCACATCCTTCCTCAGATAGGGTTGACAAAACAGCACCTGTTTTGGGAGCCAAAAAAACCAAAGAAAAACATCAATGCACACTTGAAATGTTAACTTCTTTTAGTCTAAGCCAGCATTTAGTTCATGTGTGGTTTCTTTTGTCAATGACTTTAGGGATATCTGGGATGTTAGAGGGGGAAGATGAATGGTGGTGTAAGGCCACGGTACACTAAAGAAGTTTGAGAGCATTTTTCCTTAAGGCATTGAAATACACAGAAATAAAGAAGTGCCATCCTAAACCACTTTAGATATCAGTCACATAATAAAACACTTACTTTGCTTGTTTCATATGGTTTTTCAGTTTGCACACTTGGCTACAGGCAGAATTTCCTGATGAAGAGTGTGGAATTGGCCAACACATTCAGCCAAACAGTCTCAGATGTTTGAGTCCTTATTACAATGTTCCCAGCACCAACTGCCTGGAACCGCTTAATAAGATGGAATTGCAGTTTGAATGACACATACAATCAAAATTTTCATTTGTTTTCAGAAAGAAAATCCATCTAATCTCCAGCAGAAGAGAATGGAAGTGGGTTTAAGGCAGGCAGTCCATGTTGCACTATCAATTTAGATGCAATTCGGAATATAGGATTTGCCTTAATGGATTGCCAGATCTTAATGTGGGGGGGGCAATGAAGGTATAAGAAGGGTTATTGTATAAGAAGGAAAGGCTGTATTAAAAGACAACAAAAAATGAGAAAGGGAAAACAAAAGATATATTTCTATGGCTGTAACTAAAAACTATTACTACATATGGTGGGATTTTTCAAAACCTTTTGATCACTTGTTATATCCAGACCATTTTCCTGCTGTGGCAGGAACGTTCCCTATAGTCCATGATCCAATTTGCCAGGCAGTTTTTCAATGACCCATGCAGGACGTTAAAATAGTCCCTCTATGGTTATTGCATCACTCCAATCTCCAAGATGATATCATATAATTTGCATTACAGGGAAAACCCTCCATCCAAAGTGGCTTGCTTGAAGAAGCAGCCAAAAGGAATAGTTTATTGCTTTTCCTGCTAGCTTGAAATATGTAACATTCGTTGTTTCCAGCTTGGTACTTTCACTTTTCCTTCTCGGTGTCATCCTCCAAGGAAAGCTGGCTTTTTCCAGTGCTTAAATCCCAATATTTTGTGTTCTTTCCTGGCTGCTCACTGTCATATCATCTCAGCTTTTAATCATATATATTCTTTAGGAAAGACATACCATGCTCTGCTGGAGCACTGGGGGAGCTCAACCCCCAGAGGAGGGGCCACAGGCTGGCAGGGGCTGACACAGCTCACACCAGGTCAGTCACAAAGCATCAGCAACACCCAGGGATCAGTCTGTCCCAAAAGCTGTCCCTAAAGCTCTCCAGCTCCTCAGCTCTTCTAGGTATGTGGCACGTGCCTTATGGCACAATAGATTTTAGGATACAGTTTATAGGGTCACATATGGTGTTTGCCCTTGAGCTCACTGGTGTTGGCATCCAGGTCTCAGCCAGACTGCCTGGTCCAGATTCTCTACTGTTCCTTGCTGTAAAGGTGCCCAAAATTTCCACATTCTTCCTAATGATCTACCTCCCCATGGGGCACTTTCCCGACTTGGTGCTGACTAATACAATCGCATTTTCCAATAACTCCCATTTCTTCACTCTTCCCCAGCCTCAAAGGGAGCTACAAGAGATGTGGAGAGAGCATTTAATGACAGCACAAGGGGGAATGGCTTCAAACTGACAGCATCTAAATAGGTTTAGACCGGGTATTAGGAAAGAATTCTTCCCTGTGAGGGTGGGGAGGCCCTGGCACAGGTTGCCCAGAGAAGCTGTGGCTGCCCCATCCCTGGAAGTGTCCAAGGTCAGGTTGGACAGGGCTTGGAGCAACCTGGGCTCGTGGGAGGTGTCCCTGCCCATGGGCAGGGGGTTGGAACTGGTTGGTGTTGAATGTCCCTTCCAAGCCAAATGATTCTGTGATTTTATGATACATCCCCCAGTCCATAATCTTGCAGAGCCATCAGGCCCTGTCACGTCTGCTGTGGGAGTCACACTGTTTAAGGTGGTGATAACAGAGAAGAAGCAGCATCTGTACCCTAAAAATCATGTGTGCAGCAAATAAAAGCACCACCTGGTTCAGGACTGAGCCCTCACAACCCGCAATCTGAGTCCCAGCACAGAAGCCACTGACAGGGACAGTAAAATCTTTGCCCTGAGCCTCCAGGAACAGCATCTGGCCTGTGGGAAGCAGCTCGGAGTGCAGTGAGTTGTGCTTACACTCTGTCTTGGTAAGTCAAAGGCAGAAATTATTGTGATTTGATCCTGCTCACAGCAATCCCTCTGGGTCAGTGGATATCAGGATTTGCCTTGTTGAACATCAGGGAAGAAAACCCGGCCCTCGAAAATTACCTTTCTACAGACGTATAAAACCAGAAATACGCAGATGTAGATGTGCACTTTCGGTTGTTTTCCTTGCAAACTTTAAAGCCATCACAACATTTTTTACATGTCAAAGGGCAAAAGTTTGCTGCTGTTTTATTTTTATTCCCTCTTATATGACTTTGTGTTTCCAGTATGTTATAAATCACAGGTTACACCAGGATGTAACCCAGAAAAGCTGCATTATACACCCAAATGTTTGGGATTAAAATTATAGCCTAGTGGCATAGATAAGAGGCAGATTATAATTAGATCTAAACTGTGGAGTGATGATTCACAACAGAGCACTCTACACCATCACCCTTGCACTGGGGTGCAGGTGAGAAGTTAATAATCCAAGGAATGATATCCAGCACCAGCAGTGCAGGACTGGAGGCCTGTGCTCCCCTCTCAGAGCTGACAGGTGACATTGCCTCTTTGCTCTCCCCAAAACTGAGGGTAAGACTTGGTGACAAGTGCCAGATGGGCCACTCCAGAACATGGAGAATAAGAAGGTTTACCTCTGGCTGCTGCACATCAAGAGGGATGAAGAAGAGAGAAAGCTGGAAAAAAATAAGTGGATAGATATTAGAGAAGGACATTTTTTCAGCTGAAGAGGTTTTTTTCAGGAAAACACCCATCTCTTGAGACTGAAGAATTCTACAGGGGGATACAGAACTTTTTTACTGGAATAGAGGGAAGAGATGGAGGATGGGCAGTGGGACTCCCCTGCCTCCCTGGAGCATCTACCTGGACTGGAATAGATTATCCCATGACCAACCATCCACAAAAAAACCAGGCAAGTTCTCAGAAATTCCAGTCCCTGTCAATTTAAAAACAAAACAAAACAAACAAACAAAACACAAAAACCCAACCAACCAAACAAACAAAAAAACCCAACAAAAAACAACAAAACAAAACAAAAATGAGCTGCTTGCACAACTTGATAACAGCAAGATTTAGCACCAGGAAGACTTTCCAGCACAGGAACTTCGAGGCACCCACCCCACGTGGGCCCCCTCCATCCACTGCGTGCATTGAAATGCTGACCAGTCTCGCAAAATGACTGTTGTTTTTAAGTACATTTCTCAGCTGGTTGAGCATTTAAGAAGCTGAATTCTGTTTAAATACATAGTTTGCTGTGTGCACACATGCTGCTCCCAACACTCAGCCTACTTTTCAAGAGCAAAACATACACACTCACGTATATACGTTGTCATGCGTGTGCTCACAAGACCCACAGACACAGGAGCGAACATTTCCATTGCAAAAACCACCCTGCATCTCGTCTGTCAGTAATTCCACCCTCCAGGGAGACGTATGTGCTGACAGTGAGACGATTATGAAGGTGATTGAGCTTAAAAACGTATTGTTGCTCTCTTCAATAGCGCTGATTGGCAGCGGTGATTAAATGGGGAGAGCAGGGAAATGGAATTCACGGGCTGACCATGCAGGTCATGGATGCAATCAGCTTAAGCATCTGCGAATAAGTGCTGGGGTTTTTTTCTTGAGCAGCTCTGTAGCTCAGAGGGAGGATGGATCCTGTCACCCACCAGGTGCGGTTGCTGGTTCTTTTTCCAGCTCAGTCATTGATTCACCTTGGCTTTCCTTCTTAGTCACTCTCTTTTTCTTGACAGTGCTGCAAGTGCCCAATTTCTGGGGAGAAGGGAAAGGTAATAGCAGAAAGCTAAAAGATGCTCACAATGGAATCCATGGGATCAGACTCATACCACAAATAAACTTAATTTAACATGGTCCTCTGGATTAGACTTGGTGGCATCTGAACTGTCTCTATGGGCCTGGAAAACATTTGACCTAAGGAAACAACTCTTCTGATCTCATGTGACAACTCCAATTTCCAGCAGCAAATATTTACTGAGCTATAGAAAATATCAGAACTACAAGGGTGAAAACAGAAAGAGTATTTATGCACAATACGATAATCCAAGGAACAGCCATCAAAAAAGGCTTCTAACTTAGAGAGGACTGTCAAATGCCCAGCAGAGTTACTGCACCATGCATCAAAATTCCCTTCTGCTTTAGTTCATGAGCTCCCTCATAAGGCAGAGAACAGATGAATCAACAGTTGCAAGCAGTAGTTATTTCATCACAGCCTCAGCTTGTCCCTCAGATACGACACAGCCACCAGAGCAAAGCACCCAGTGCGAAGGTGACCCAGTCCTGGTCCCCAGAGGAGGGGGCTGCTTGTCTTGTCTCACAACATGGTTGTGTACCAACCCTCCTCATCCCATTGCATGGTCAGGGTCTGTCATGTGGACTGATCAGAGAGGAATATCTTCCTCATAGAGGACCCCACCCTCTCCAGCTCCTGATGTTCCCTCAGACAACTCCCAGGCTCACTTACCAACAAGTTCCTCTCTATTTCTCTTCCTAATGTTCATTTCATGAGTTGCAGAAGTAACATTTTTCAGTATTAAAATGTAATTAATGATTTCACCATAATGGATTACTCGAAAGACATTCAGGCCCTTTGTTGAACAAAACTCACTCATTTTCTGATGCATTAGGACTGTCTGGTCTGCTCTGCCTCTGAAGCAGCCATCCCACAGCTGGCAGTAAGCCAGGGGCTGCAGAAAACATGCATTTTTTCCTGTCAGAGCATTTCTAACCGACCTCTGCAGCACACAGTGGCAGCTCTGCTCGCAGGCACCATCAGCTCCTGGCTTCTGGATCCTATTAAAGACAGGAGAACAAAAGAGAAAGGTAAGCACAGGTGGGGAAGAGGCGATGGGCTCAGCTGACCAGCTCCCCATCAACTCTTTGCCATTTGTGAGATGTCCAGACAGAAGGGTTTCTAAAAGAATTTAGAGAGGATCAATGTTTTGATATTTGCTTCGAGGACATCTCTACAGCAGATCAATGGGATGGAAGCCACCAGCTGCAGGGCAGGATGAGGAGCAGGGAATGAGCAGCTTGCAGAGCAGTGCCCTGTGCCCTCAGCTTTGGTGCCCATAGCCCAGGATCACTTCTCCTCCTCTTCTGCACCAAGCTCATCTCACTGCCCCAGGGACAGCAAGCCCCATGGAATAATAAATAATCTTGCTTGGAGACACTAAGATTTTAAGAATTTAGACTCAAACCAACAGATCAGGGGTATATTTTGGAAAACCCCCACACGCAACCCGAGGCCAAGGGGCTCTGCTACACCACCAAAGCCAGCCTACAACTGAGCCATGGCTGTTCTTTGGTCCTGAAGCACCTTAAACCAAGACTTTAGCTTTCCCTTGAAGCCAACTGAATTAATCAATTCCTCCTTGGCACTGAAATAAAACTCACTTTCTGCTGGGTGGGTCAAAACCGCACAATCTATTCTGGCTGCTCTGTTCCCATGAATTCTATTACAATACCTTGCAAAGGGGGAGATTAGAGGGAAGGCAGAGCCAGCAGCATGCCTGGCTTTATGAGGGGGAAAAAAACACACACACAATTTATTTTTCATTGCTTTATGATGAATATGAATTCAATTACATGCAGAGGAGAACTGCTGTAGTCAGTCAGAATTATACTCAGCTAGTAGCAAATATAATGGCTTTTAACAAGGAGAGCTTATCATCAAGGTTCAGACAAGCTTGAGTCCGTGTTGCACCTGATGAACCTGCACAGGCAGACAATGACTGTCACAGCTGAGAATTAATCTCTCATCTCCACAGCTGGAGGAGGGAGGAGGAAGAAAGGTGTTAGTGGAGCACTCTGGTCACTGCCAGTCCTACAACCACACAGGACAGCACCAGGGAGCACAAGGACCACCTGCCAAAACATGAGCACATCCAACAAAAGCAACAGAGAAACACACTTGTCTCCCTTCTTGTTTCTGTCATTTTTCCCACCAGGCAAAATGCATCTCTCCCTGTCCCTGGGTTAAGGTTTCCAACAGCTTGGTTAAGGTTTGCCCACAAAGCTCACAAGCTTAGAGACCACGTGTGCAGGGAACAGCTCACCCTCTGCCTTGATTGTGCCACACACCCAGGGAGTGTCTGCACAAACGTCATCACAGCACCCAAGCACCCAGAACACGTGTATTTCTGTCTCTGTATCTCTGTGCCTTTCATTTATCAGCTCTAGTCACTCCAAAACCACCACCACCTGTGCAGGAGCTGAGAGTTCTTCCAGGAGACCTTTCAAGGCCCTCTCGGTCCTAATTGAGCAGAAACCTTCAATCATTCACCCATCCCTGCTTGGCACAAAGTGTCTCAGCACAGCTCTGCTGCAGCAATGACCAGCCTGCCTCAGGGAGGGTCAGGAGTAATTAATTGTTTGTCCCACCACTGCCTTGCTGTGGAGCAGGACCCTGCTGCCTCCAGGACAGCCCTGCAGTGCTGAGAAGCCCCCAGCCCCTCTCCCCTTTCTCCTGCTCCCCGGGAGCACCAGTGCTCTGGCAGTGGTTGTGTTTCCCGAGCTGCCACAGCACCAAACAGAGAAATTCTCAAGGAAATGGGAGGAAAGACTGAAACTCTCCCCATAATGTGCATTATTCTCATGCACAGTGTGATTCTCCTGGGGTGTCACTGATGTTTCTGCAACATCGACACATCCAGGTTTTACTTCTTCAAGGTGACTCTCAGGTTGTTTCTTGGGGTGTTTTGCAACTCAGAAAAGTCATGTTGATGCAACACGCCAAGAAACCACCTCCAGCCCTCCCCTGGGAGCGGGCATAAAAATATTATACATCTTTAGTTATTGCTTAATAAAACAGCCCTGAGCAGCAAGTCCACCCAACTTGTCACTGCCTGAAGCCCTGAAAGCCCCAGCAGTGTGTGTGGGGCACACACAGACATGTGTGTGCTGCTGCCTGTCACTCTGACAGGCACCTCAACTTGGAGCTGGACATGCCAGTCAGGCAAAAAGGAAAGCCAGGGGCAAAGAGGAGGGCTCAGGCAGCAGTGAGCCAGGCAGGGCTGGAAGGAGATCTCATCTGTTCTGAGACCCAGCTATTACAGCCCAGCTCTGGAGCAGCAGATGTGCCAGGCTGTGCTTCCCCAAGGAGGCTGGTGCAGCCACACTTCCCAGGACGAGCTGATCTTCCTTCCTCTCTGCACACAGGCAGCACACACACAAGACTTCTATTGTTTTAGAGGCAAAACATTACTTTGCAGCAGCTGTCTAGAAAAGGATGCTCAGCTCTTGCCCAATAACGAACATTTCAAATTTCCTCACTATTTTTCATGAAACCATTTCATGGTCACTTGTGGGTTAAGCTTTACATCTTCTTCAGCATGGAAGGAGAGTGTTGCTGCTTTTCAGTGACAGGAGAAGTAAGACATGGAGCGTCACATTTCTTGATCAAACTTAGGAATCAAGATAGGGCAAAGTTCATACAAACCCCAGACATCTGTGCTCCTTCATCCCTGTGTATTTGCTCCTTCTCACCAGCAAAAGACAGTTTTGGCCATTTAAGAAAAGATAAGGTGTTTAATCTCATTTCCATTCAGGTGAGGGTGCCTGGAGGATGGAGGATGATCCCATCCCAGCCTGCAGCCTCCCCATTCCCAAGCCCAGGCTGCAGTGGCATAAGCAGAGCTGGGCTCTGGTATGGACACAGAGACAGCACTGTCAGCCAGCTTTGGGTCTGGAATCAGACTGTGCCATCAGACAAAATCTATAGGCTTGGATTCTGCCAGCTGCTCACCAGACCTGATTGAAAGTGTAGGAATTACATTAAATTACCTGATTATGTGCAGGCTGACAAATAACAGCAGATATTACAGCCAAGGCTGAACAAGAGCTTGGCCATTTCTGTCTCTGCTACAGCAGAGGGAGTTTCGCCCTGGTAATAACAAACACTGAAAGTTTCTCCTCTTTAGAGCTGTGTTGTTTTTTTTTATCCGAGGTTGGAGAAGAAAACATCCAAATTGCACATAACAAGTGGAACGCAGAGAAAAAGAGCCAGCTGTACTCACAGATGTTACAACACAACCAAAGGTGCTTTTCTATTTCCTCTTCCCCCTGAATAAGCCACATACACCTAATGAATAACACAGGAGATTTCCTCGATAGAATTAATAGCACACAGTCCTTCTTGACTTGCCTTTAATCACACTCAGCACCCAGTGGGCCTGGGAGAGAAAGTCAGCATTACTCATTTACTCAGGCAAACCCAGTGGTTGTCAGCCACCCCAATCCCTCACAGCTTTAATGCCGTGGGTTGGGGAACAGAATCACGACCTGTGGGCTGCCCTTGCAGCTTTGCTGTTCACGGGGGGACAAAGCTTGGATTAAAGTCAGCCGTCATTTCACTTGGACACAACCAGTGTTTACAAATGTTGTGGGGTGGGGAGAGCCTTTAGATGGACGGGTTCAACTGGATTCATGCACAGTGAGCTTCAAATTTATATTTAGGCAAATTCATGGAGATCCAGAGGATTTCGCTGACTTAGAGAAGGGAGATAGATCTGACTGTCAGTCTACAAGATGCTCACAGATTGTTCATTCTGAGTCTGTCAGACATCTATTATTAGTGGTGGTGTAAATGGTGTGGTTTCAAACACCTTTAATAGTCTATAGTTACAGAAGTGCCAGTGAAAATTAGGAGATAAAGTAAGAAAAGGAGTTCGGATATGGCTGAATCTGAAAATGTTTCAGGATTTGGAAAAAAAAAAAAAAGAGTTTTTAAGATATCTCTTCTGATCTGGCCTGGTCTGGTTCAGCCCAGAACACAGCAAAGTGTAGCACAGAGGGAGTTTTGCCTAAAGAAAAAGCAAATCAAGTATGAGTCACAGGCAACTGTGGTTAGAGAAGATTGCAAACTGGAGCTCCCATCCATCAGAAAATCTGATTACCTGAACGTGTTTTCTTTAGAAACATTTCTACCTACATAAATCAAAAAGTTTTGCCTTGCTGAGCAGCTTTACCTCCACCTGGGCCTTCAAAAAACCACACACCATCTCCCAGTTCCCCCCATTGCCTTGGGGGGACTGTCTGTCCCTCTGTTCTGCCTGGCCACACCAAGCCTGGGGAGGGACACGAGCCACCACACTCTCAGGCAGCAGCAGAATGTCACACAACATCTGACCTACGGCTCCTGCAGGCACTGAAGCAGCTCTGCAAACACAAAGACATATTGAATTCACTGAAAATGACATGTTTTGATTTGGCTTAATATGCCAAGATAGTTCGATCTGGATCCACTAGACTGGAATGATACGTTTCACTTAAATCTTCTTGACAAAAGAGAAAAAGTCTATGCATTGATTTGATTTTTTTTTTATAGAAAATTATCTTTTTACAGAAACTTCATTATCCACATACACAAACACTTAGGCACCTCTAATTATCAAACATTGATAAGTTTGATACAGGACCTACAGGACTTTATTCTCAATCATATTAAAGTCACTTTAGATCCTTTTACTCCCTGTTACTTAGAGGCATAAAATGAGTGTAAAAATAGTTATGGAGAAAGATTAGGAGCCCCTAGAAAGAACATATTTATCTCTGCCCAGGCAGATGGGCCACCAGGGCTGTGCCTGTCCCCCACTTATCTGCTCTGTAAGAGTCACCTGGTGACTGAGGCTGGGGAGATAAAACAGCCCAAGGATCTTGGAAGGATCTTTCCAAGGGATCCCTGTTACCTTCCAGAGCAGCAGATGGGGTTTGCAGCACAGCCTGCCCATAAGGATGGAGTTTTGGGATGCTGCAGGCGGTTGCTCCCAGGACAGCTGAGCTGAGGTAAGTGTTAACACAGCTCCTGTACTCCAATTTGTGCCTGCAAAACGAATGCTGCTCTCCTGGGCTGCAGTAAGGTTGTAACATGCTTAAATACTTCATTAATGAGGGCTCTGTAAGCACCACAGAGACAAATAAGATTTTAGAGGGGCAGAAGCCTTTGTGCTTTCCCCTTTTCCACAGGGGAGAATTTCAACTCACCGTTCAATTTGCAATTGCTACGAGAAAATTGTGCACATGGAGTTGGATTTGCCAGCACAGTTTGTGCCTCCATCTAATTGTTTTTAAACTTTGCATCTTGGGAAGAATTAGCAATCATGGTGTTCTTAGAGCCTTGGGAGTTTTTTTTAGAAAATTTTCTTCCCATAATATCCCATATGTTTCTAGTGCTTTCAGGGGAGCAGAGCCAAGTCATCTCTGACTAAGACCTGATAATTTACAGAGCACATCAATCTACCGGACAAAGCATTTGCAGCCTGTTGTAGCGATTAAGACAAACTTCCCTAGCGGGAAAATTTATACCAGGAATAAACATAAATCTTGCTAACATGATTATTTGCATTCTTTTTAGCCAGGCATGCAAGGGTAGGTTAATTTTCTTGAGGCTTTTTTTGATGAGAGGAGGAGTGAGGAGGTGATCATAGGAGGATGTCTGATTAAGGTCACTGAGGTCAGGTATTTGTAGGGAGTCATTCCTTCAGTCCTTTCCAGTGCTGGGTCAGGAACATCAGGAAAGCTGAGATGCAACAGCAGATCTTACCACCCTTCCTGATATGGCTTCTGCTGAAATTAAACACTTCAGACTTCTTTAACGAATAGTGATAGATAACCACTGCCAAAGGCCACACCATCATTCAGGATATGCTCCCACCACCCACCTTGACCACTCACACCCCCTTGGCTTCTCCTTTAAAGTCCTTTGTGTGAGACTTAAATGTGAGGCAAAGGTTTGGACCCTACAAAAATCTGGCCTCTGCTGGCTGTAGAAAAATTATGAGCCATGTAAATTGTTGTGCTTAAAACTAATACTGGCTCTGTTTTTAAAGTGTTCTTAAATCCTCCTACTCATGGAAAGAGGATAAAAATATCCCATCACACCTGCCTAACTTCTTTAAGGACAGGTGTTTCAAGGTTGCCCCCTAAACTGCTTTTTTTGAGCGTGACAAGTTAGATATTTTTTTTTTTTTTTAGGATAAGGCAACACGCACCCAACAAGAGAAAAGCCAAGCACTCAGGGCATTTGTGTCCAGTGGCACTGCAGTTTGTGTCAGCACTCCACTCACGGCACCACTGCAACACCCACCCCTTCACTTTGGCTCCCACAAAACCCTCTAAACTCACTTCCTTCAGTGGAGACTCATTCCCTCTCCACTGCTCTATGGTGGGCTTGTAATCTCGGGCAGGCTCCTAAAAATAGAAACACTTCCCTCACATCTGGGCCCTTCTCATGTCAGCAAAACCAGGGCACAAAGTGCTTTAAATCAGCCTCTCATCTCTGGACTGAAGAGGATTGCCCCTCTCTGGTCCAAAGCCATGGATGGCAGATGTTTGGGTTGATTCCTTTGGCCGTGGGCAGTGGCAGATCTGGAGCTGCTACCAAGTGCTGAGGCTCTGCACCAGCTCCCAGCTCTGGGAAATCCCAGCTGTCTGCTCACATTCATCCTCTGGAAGCAATCTTTAACCCTCCCAACGTTCCCTTCAGGCTCTTTGTTCCAAGGCTGCAGAATGTCTTCACACAGTCTCAAACTCTAGAAGTGCAACCTCCATGCAAAGGGTGAAAAAGTGAATCAGTGAATGGCATTTTTTGTGTTGTTTGTTTGTTTGTTTTATTTGTTTGGGGTTTTTATTAATTTTGGGTGTTTTTTAAATAATAAACCCCCAAACAAAACAAAAATTAAACAAAACCCCCTACTATTAACGTGGTTGCCAGCTTCCTCCTTCATGAAGATGCTTTATCTGCTCATTCCTTTGAACATCAGAGCCACTAAGTCCTGTACTTCCTCCTCTCTTCGTCCTATTTTTTCCATCAGCAAACATTTTTATTGCAACAGAAGCACCAACCATGGACCCACCAAACCTCTGATTTACAACAGATCATATAATCTGTTTGGTAGCTGGTACTTCCCATCCACTTTTCCTACCTTGAGCCTGCTGAAGGGTTTGACTGACATGCTGGCCTATCCATAAGAGACTTTATAACCACGTTTTCAAAGGATCTCCAGGTGCCTTTGGCTGTCTGAAGTTTGGCCATGAGCAAAGGGCACTCAGAGCCCTGACTGCTCCTGTGGTTCTCTGGCTCTGAGGATCTCACCTGCAAGGAAGAGAGACCCAAGAAGTTGAATATTAGACAGTTTTTAAGCACACCTTGCACACACTGCCCTGATTGAGGTCCCCTTCCTTTCTGACAGATCCAGATTTAGCCCACCCAAGGCAGACATGGGACATGGAAAGATACATCTTATTTTTTAAGCTGAGGGAGGGCAAGGGAAACACAGCCAGGAGCTAAGTGAAAGTAGAGGACAAGAACGTGGGGAAATTTTCAAGCTGCACATCATGCAGGTGAAGGGCAAGACTGAGGCAGAACCAAAGCTGCTTAACCAGACCTTTGAGGCCATCTGAGGTGAGCCAGAATCAGCAGAGATTTCATTACTCACAAATCCCTCCAGATGTCTTAAATAATTCATAGCAGGCACTGGGACATAAAGACCAGGAGTCCCATTAGGAGGCACATCGTATTGTTTTTGTTCATTAGGGTGAGTCACACAAAACACATTATTACATAAAGCAGGATGTCTCATTAATTACATCAGCCTGGGGGCTCTAATGTACCAGTGCCTGGGAGGGCTCTGGGAGACTCAGTCCTTGTCCTGGTTGTTCCAGGGAGTGTTTCCCTGCAGAAAGTCACCCCTCACTCCTCCCAGGCTGTAACCCTGGCTGTGACTCTGCCCGTGGGTGCTGGGCATTCCTCCAGCAATGTCACCTCTCCCATGAACTGCCCCCCTGAGGACATGACTCTCCTCGTGCTCACCCCACACAAGCTGGGCACAGCTCCAGCTGGGCACCCAGCTGTGACACCAACCAGGGAAAACCCATCCCTGAGCTGAGCTCCCGCTGCCGCCGTCAACTCCGGGAATACAACGGAGGCTGAGGGAGGAGTGTTTGTCACTGTGGCATTTGGAATAACACTGTGGCTTTTGGAGCAAGGGAAACTGAGCATTTCAACAGCAGCTGCCAGTGTTTGCCCACACAGGCAGGTGGGAGCTGTGCCTGCCAGCTGGAGGGGAGACCCTGGGACCCCGCATTTCCACACTGTTAGCCTGCAAACACTCACCAAGGCCAGCCCTGTTTGCATGGATGATGGTGAAAAGGGGTGCTACATCCTCTTCAATCCTGCCACCTGCAGCTACCCAAATGAGGGGAGCTGAATTTCATGAAGAAAAACACACTGCAGTGCATAGGGAGAGTGTCCAGGTTCTTAGGGCCTAAGTCACTTCTGCAGAGACAAGAGAGACACCTCCCTGGGGAGGTCCCAGCAGCAGCTGGGAGCTGTAGGCTGGCAACCCACCCCATCTGTGCAGCCTCTGCCCACTTTTGTAGCTCAGAAGTGCAGCTCCTTCCTACCTTTTCAAGAAAAAATTGCTGTTATGGGAGACATACACCACTTCACAGAGACAGGCTTCCAAAATCTACACCACCCTGTGGAAGCCCACTGCAACCTCAGGGACTAAATAAACTCCCCAGTTCCCTGCTGCCTCCTTTCCACTGTCCTGCAGTTTTCCAGGTAGGACTGTGTCCAGTGATGGATCCCTGCAGGGATGTGAGACAGAGATGTGAATGGGAATGAGGTTTCACTGTTTGGCACAGAAGAGGATCCTATAAGTAATTTAGGGGACCACCAAAGTCTGCACTAACATAACCTTTTCAGAAAAGCATTCACTCCAGACTAGGTTATATCCAGACTCCACTCCTGCACATTACCAAAATATTGCTGCCAGGATGCAGTCTGGGTTGCCTGCACAGGATCTCTATAATTTACAGGTGGAGAGGAGAGAAAAGGTCAGGGAAATCCTCGTGTATTTTGCTCTCTAACAGCCAGTCCTTGTGAGTGTATCAAAATGCAGCAGCAGTGACAGGGACAGATGATCTAGAACTCTCTGCATTATTAATATAGAGTGAAAGATGAGGCAGCTTTTGTGGAAAGTATCTGTTTGCATGCTCTAACTTTAACACACTGCTACTCATGATGCTGCATTAAAACACAGCTAACCTTTTAAGATGTCTCACACTGAACAAAAGGGAAAATATTCGCTGAGCTCAAACACTCCAAAATGTTCCAGGCTTGGAAATAGGACTGCAAAGATCAGGAGGAAAAGCAGGAAAGTGGGGAGAGAAAATGCAATGGGGAATGCAATAGAAATGAAGTAGAGGGAGAAATTCAGAGAGGAGAAGTAGAGGCTGGAGAGAGTTCAAGGTGTCCCTGGTATCCACCAGCTCCAAGGAATTCAGCCTCTCCTATGGGACACCCAGATCATGACAGAGCAATGCAGCACCACATCTCACAGTGTTGGAAACTGCTTCCTTACTCCTTGTTGAGCCTCCAGCTCTTTAAGGCACCATCCCCTTGTGCATGCCTTGCCTAAGACAAGCAGTTCACCCCAGCACTCCAAATCCCAGATTCTTATCCTATCACTGCATGAAACAAACTGCATCCACAGCTCCAGTCTGGCTTCTTGGAGAGGCTTCCTCCCTCATCTTAGGCTAAGCTTTGTGACAACTAGCAAAAAAAAAAGCAGGAAAATTCATCTTTACAGCAGCAGGGGAGCAGGTAGAAAGGATGGGGTGGTGCAAGGACCATGGAGACATTCCCCTCCATGAACCCTGAATGGTCACACTGTGCCTGCTCATCTAAAGAAAGCGTGAGCCTGGCAGAGCCAGGCCTTTAAGCCCTGTAGTAACCAAATCCCAGAAGTTCTTTATCCTAAGCTCTTTAACATGGAGTGACTGAGCAGCACGTGTAGGAACCAGCCTTAATGCTTGCAGACAGCCAGGAGTCAGGGAGACATGGGTTTCTTCCCGTTATGTTAAGCTTAAATAGAATTATATGGTCTTTAGTTTACCTTGCCATGCAGGCACATTAGGCATGGATTTCTCTAAAGCCAGAACATCACAAGCTACCCAAACAACCCTGTCATTGCAATTTCACAATTTCCCTCTTTTGTGTATCTCTGAGCTCTGACTGCAGGAAAAATCCTCCCCTCAGCCCACTGCCATCTGGAGCAAGGTTCAGACTCAGTCACAAGCCTGGTGGGAAAGGATATTTCTGGAGAATGGTGGGAAGGTTAACGATGAGTATGCTTAGAGCTGGTGATCTCTTTCTGCATCTCTTTCTGACACTCCAGTCTCCACTGCACAGTCTGGAACCAAGAAATGGAAGTAACTGGGAAGACAACAGGAGTTCTGAGCTCTGACAGGATCTGGGAAATGCAGAACTTCAGTCAGCAAGGCAGGAAGAGTCTCCCTGAAATATTTCAATCTGAAATTATCCTGATTCATCCAGGAGACTGGAGCTGGTCCTAGATTCGTGCAGAGCCTCAGCAGGACATTCTCAGCAGCTGCAGGGACTTTGCAACTCCCACGTCTGAGCCAGCCCAGCCCTTGAGGGAACAGAGGCGAAGGGTGTTCGAATGGGTTAACTCTAGTTACGTTAATCTTCTCAGGCAACATCAAAACTTTAACTATTGAGTTAAAAACAGACATCAGAGGATGCCTTGTCACAGAAACAGCTGGTACCCATGGCTCTGTTAAGATGAGGTAACATACCATCTTTCAAAGCACCCTCTGGCTGCAAGGCTGGATCACTCCACACTGCCTTCACCAATACATGACACCTCCTTGAACGGCTTCAGCTCCCTGACAACCTTGCTCAGCCATTTCAGTGCTCTTGCTCTTTCTGCCCTGGCCCTGCCTTATGAGGCAATGCTCCTCCACACTCCACAAGGCAGAGACCAGGAAGGAGGAAAGGAGGAGGGGTGCTAATGCCATCACCAGTAGGTGTTACAAGCCCATGTCAGACAGGCTGTTCGTTTCTGCTGGGCTTAGCTGGAGGTGTTTGGAAGCTTTTATACGGCTTGACATCCACCCCTCAAATAATCAAAGCTGCATCCCCAAAAAGGCCAGAGACGGGCTTGTTATGCTCTGATGCTATTTCCAGCGTTGTCCAGCAGACACCACAGGGAAGAAGAACAGCTGCAGCTCAGGCAGTTTTATGAGCTGTTACTGTCCTGGCTGTTGCAGGCAGTGCCTGTCAGGTCTGAGCGAGCTGGACGCCGATAATCGGGCAAAGCTGCTGTTTGTTACCCCCTTGCGGTCTTTTGACTTTTCATCTTGATTAAAGACCATGCTGAACGATGGAATTAGCAAGGCAGGGATCCTAATCCATTCGCTGCTCCTGAAATCCAGTTGCCTGCCCACGTGCTCGTCCTCGGGGCTACCTATTAGGGGCACCAGCTGCCAGCCTGGATGCCAGGGCCAGGAGCTATTAGTGCACAGACCATTAGCTTTAAAAGGCATTTGGAACTTCTGAACACATTAGGTTTGTGTGATTGACATACACTACAGCCATATGTGGCTCGCTGTCCTTTCTGTCAGCCCTTTTTTCTCCAAAAATGTGTTGGCTCACTGGAGTGATCTTGGTGGAGCATCTCATGAAAACATCTTACCGAGAGCATCCAGGTCCTGCATTAGTTAAGTAGTTGTTACCTGCTTTAAACAACTTCCTTGGCATCTCTTCTCTGAGATGGGAATGGCAGTTGAGTTGTATGAAAGGTTGGTCTCTATTTTTAGCCCTGTCATTTGCCCAGTTAATGGTTCCAGGGAAGTCATTTTCCTTCTTTATGCTTCAGCGACCCCATCTGTAAGATGGTAATGATGAGCCTGTACCATAGGGTTTTGAGATCTACGCTTGTAAAAAAATATAATAAAACTCAGAATTATCATGGTTGCCTAAAGCAAGGGTGGAGAGGAAGCCCCAGGGGCCTTTGCAGCAGTACCTGCATGGTTGTTTCTTGTGAATCCTGTTCTGCCATGGCACCAGACCTGGATCCCCTCTGCAGACCTTGGCAGTCGCTGCTCCATGCCTGGCACAGGGGCAGATCTCTGGGGGCTGCTGTTGTCCCTGGATTTCCAGCAGTGGTGGTACCAGAGCCTTAGCTCTCCAAAACAAGTTAAATGCCAGGTTGTCTTACCAGCCTGTCTGAGGCCAGTGCAATATGGCTGAAGGGAGATCTTCCCATTTCTTTCCCAGCTTTCTGT